TTTAACATATAAAGCAATGATATTAAAGTCCTCTAAATTTATTTTTTTCTCATGCAGATGTTGCTCTATATTCTGTTCTCCTCAACTATCTGCTAGATACTAATTCTGTTTTCACACAAACCTAATATCTAGAAAAAATTATATAACAGGACCTCAATATTTCAATATTTCTAAACCTCAAGTAACATTACTAATGTCTAAACCAGCGATCCACAACCACCGATCGCGGACCGATACGACGATCAGAGTCTGAGTGATGTTTTATTTTTAAAAATATAAAAAATTGCGGTATTCTCTCCCAATTACATCAGTCGGTGCAACTGTGCCTCTTGACACAGGGTAATTCAGTTCAAGACTCATCCTATCTATAACATCCTATCTTTGTGAAGCGGGATTTTCTGCGGTTACAGCGACCAAAGCAAAGCTACGGAGCAGACTGGACATCAGGAGCACACTTCGTGTGTTATTGTCTCTGGCTTGTTGTTGTGTTTTATGCTGTTTGTATTTGATTTTATGCCAGTCGTATTATTTTACTTGATGGTATTGACTGAATATATATTTCAGATGTCTCAAATGCATTTCTTCCTAGTTAAAATGAACATTTCAGATATCCAAAATAACACTGAAAATAGCACATCTGACAGTTTAAGGTTTACGGACCTAAATTTAAGACATTCAGTTTTATGAGTCTAGCTTCCTCTCTGTAGATTTGAAAGCAGCAATGGCGCCAGTGATAGTTTAATTGACAAAATGGAAAGAAAATGAAATGGGTTTGTCCTCAGCCAGGGGATTTGTGGTGACAGAAAGCGTCTTGCAGGAGAAACTTCAACAGAAAGTGTTTCAAAAGCAGAAATTCTTATCATGTTTGCCTCGATTTTACTTTAGTATGGTGTCCGATGGTGTCATGAAGCGGGAATAATGAATCCTGGGTGCAGTGATCAAAAATGTCTGACTCATACGTTGCATCAATAATCGGTTACATAAAAGCAGTCATTTCTAATTTAGATAGGAACAACTAAAATGTTACTACTACAAATGTAGTTGTAGATATCTGTAAAGACATTTGTAGTAGTAAAAATATATCTTAGATGTCAAGAATTGGATTTCTGGATATCTGTAATGTTATATAAATTTTTGATAATTGAAATAGTAATTATGACTAGCAGTAGGAATTACATTTCAAATATCTGAATTTTTTATTTAGGATAAAATAATTTTATTTCAGATATCTGAATTTTTTATTTTAGATAAAATAATTTTATTTCAGATATCTGAAATATTCAGTTTGACTAGGAAGCTATGCATTTGAGACATCTGGATTACATATTAAGTCAAGCCAATTAAATTTCAATACAGCCTGCCATACCCGCCCAAGAAAGGTTGTCTGTTTTATTTGACCAATAATTCTCTGTGTTTAAGCAAAAGATAATAATCATGATCGCATCTGCTTCCGTGAAGTACGCCAAGAGATTGTTAGAAAACAATCCTTACAAAAACTCTGAAGTCGCCTCCACTGCTCACAAGGGAACCACCAATGAGAATAAGGAGGCAGATTATCTAAAACCATCCCTTGAGAAACACCATCCATCAACTGGGAGTCAAACAGAACCTGCCAGGAAATGCTGGAGAGATTCTGACCTGCCTAAAGCTCACATAAAAGGTATAGCCAGAAACATTGAGACCAGACCCACAACCTCCAATGGAAGGCATTGTACAGAGAAACCGGTGGACATATTCAGACCCACGTAGAGCTGAACCAGAATCACCTGTGAGGAACATATTATCAAGTTTAGACCAAGTCAGAAGAAAAGTTGTGGCTGTTTTTAGGCAAACTAGCAGCAGAATCATAGATTTCTTCCCCACAGCTAAATCAAAAATCAGAGAATTTTTGCTTTCAGTCTTTGAAAGACTTTGGAATGTCATTAGGAGAATTCCCCATCGTTTACAGCGTGTTATCACTACAATTATTCTATTGAAAGCAGCTTTGTCGTTGCTTCTGTTACTGAAATATTGCTTATATAGGGGACTTAAACCCAACCAAAAAATGCTACATTAATACAATTAACACATGCTATTTCTCTCTCTTCTCCCTTCTCTGACACATTCTAACCCTCCGACTGTACTGTTAAACTCGCTTTAAAATTTACTATCAAAATCTCTCCCATTTACTAAATATCTTCCTTTAACTAACAACTATATTTCTTTAACTATAAACTATCTTTCTGTAACTATAAACTATCTATCTTTCTTTAACTATCAACTCTCTTCCCTTAACTATAAACTCCGCCCATTTGTTTGTGTTTTGTTTGTCTTGTCTGTTGTCTGTAGTTGTGGATCTTCTCTTCCTATTGTATTATGTCCATTTGTAAACTTTAAAATAAGGACAGTTTCTAGTTTCCGTGTCTTATTCTTTCCCCTAACCAGTTTTCAAAACAAATGCAGGAGTTAAATGTGTTAAAAGTTAATCCACAGCTGTTTAAATTAGGAATAAAGGGGATTGATATACTGCAAGGTTCAGATATTACAACAAATAAAGTTTAATGAAAAAGACTAAAAAAATTGTTTGTTTAACAATAATCGGGCATTTCTTCAAATAAGCAAGGACCCGGTGTCATTATTTAAATGTTAAATGCTAAAGTTTAATTTGTTAACCTTAATTCTTTTCTGGCTACGCCTCTGTGTTTGAGTCGATGTGTTGTAGAAATGATGTTGGCGTTGAGTCACCCCATGATAGTAAAGATGGGAGTTTTTATTAGGGTTGGGTAAAAAAAGCATATTTTGAATCGATTCCTTTACATTTGTGCAAAATCGATGTTTAGGGAATGAGATCGATTAGTTTTATAGTGACGCGCGTGACGTTCACATTCAAATGAGCAGGAAAGATGCACTCGAGATTACTTCAAGCCAGACAGCTGCAAATATAGCCAATAGGTTGACTGAAGACATTAAAAAATGGGGGCTGAACAGCAAACACCCTGTAGTTGTTACAGACAATGCTGCAAATATGGTTTGTGCAGTGAAGATAATGCAGCTCATGCATGTCTGCTGTGTCCCCGTTCTGTCACGTCTGCTCACTTGAGTGAGGCTTCACTTTTTTGCTTTTCACAAACAAGTTTGCACTTTTGAGACAGTTTTGTTCACGTCTCAAGTTTAAACTGTCTGATTTACAAGTTTGCTCTTTGTGTTTAATATGACAGGAAAAATTAAAAATATGAGTATTTTATTTAAACATAGTTGAACCACTTTCATTATAGTAAAAACAGATTGAATCGAAATTAATCGATTTAGAACTCTATGAATCAAAATCG